CCAAGGTGTAATATTTATCATACTCCACACCACCTCATCCTTTGTCATCTAACACTTCATAAAATCTATCTGCAGTACACTGCATAACTCCAATTATCATGTATCTCAATCATTTCTTATGGAAAATTTTTCTTTTTTTTTCTTGAACTGAGCTGACATTAAAATGAACATGCTTCATGTTACTGGAACAAATTTTTGGACCCAAAGTTAGGCATGCAAAGTATATTAAAACCTTACCATTTCTAGGCAGCCCAGCCTCTCACTATCACAGCACTGATATACTGTTCCATCTGTTTTCAGTATGAGATGATCTACCTCATTTTTGGCCGCAGTAAATTCCAGAGAATCTCAGCTAATTTCGACCGCTTTCTGCAGAGGTTTAATGTAGTACAGTACTGGGTGCTGACAGAGATGTGCCTCACGCCTAATCTGGGGAAGCGAGTTCAGATGCTGAAGAAGTTCATTAAGATTGCAGAGTAGTAAGTTTTTTTTTTTTTTACCAACAATACAACATGACATTTTGAGTATAAACATATGCATAATAGTATTGCTCTGTAGTTAGGATATGCTTCTTTTTCTTATCATGTTAATTAACTGTACTTATTTAGTGTGAAACTCCTATTTCAAGCACACTACTGATTATTAACAAAACACATTCAATAGCTGAATCAGGTGTGAACATAATTGAACATCCATTCATGGAGTATGTGTACAGAAGCTTTTATTGTAAGCTCCTTTATTACCATATGTTGCACCAAGCACTTGGACATAGTATTTTTATATTGCTTAAATTAAACTTTCTTTTCTTAAGCTGCCTTGAGTACCAGAACTTGAATTCCTTCTTTGCCATAGTGATGGGACTGAGTAACCTGGCTGTGAGCAGACTGTCCCAGACCTGGGAGGTGAGTAACAACTAACACAATCTTTATCTCAGCTAGCACAATCACTATCTCAACTGACACAATCATTATCTCAACTAATACAATTGCTGTCTTATCTTTCACAACTTTTATCTCAACTTACACAATCACTACCTCTGCTAAAACAAGTAATTTTGCTTATTTTTCATTCTACTAAATATATACAAATTGTGAGTAAATGTTTCATGAATTTGAAAACATTTAGCTTCTTTTAATTTGATATGGTCACTGTTGTAGAATGTGTGTCCTTTAAGAAAATGTTTAATATTATTTGATTTGTTACCCAAAAGACTTAACTTTAAATTAATTTGTTTCAATAAACACACACACAGATTATAACAGCCTTCATTGTACATTTTCTAGAAACTTCCTAGCAAGATGAAGAAGTTATTTTCTGATTTTGAAAGTATGATGGACCCTTCCCGCAACCACCGAGTGTACAGGCTCACAGTTGCAAAGATGGACGCCCCATTTATTCCATTTATGCCCTTGCTTATGAAAGGTAGGTTGTGTTACTGGGCTTTTTATTCTCCTGTAAAGATTTATTTCAAATTTATATTATCAAAACTTTAAGAACATGATGAGTACAGGTTGTATGTGTGTATGTGTGAAAGACAATATGTAGTATTGAGGGCACTATAGATTGCCATAGATATAAACAGAAAATGTACAGGTGTATTAATTCAATAAAAATAATGGATTGCACTATTAAGGGCCATACATTTGGGTGAATTGAACAACTGTTTAATTATCAATTTGGTAGCGAAGGGATGCTGACTGGTTTTACAGCGTGGTTTTGAAATACTTAAACAGTTTGCATGGTTTCCTTGTTTGCCTTTGTTATATTTCTGTATGACAGACATGTCTGTGTATTTCTTTCCAGATTTGACTTTCACTCATGATGGCAATAAGTCTTATTTTGATGGTTTAGTTAACTTTGAAAAGATGGTGAGTTAAGACAGCATGTTAAACAAATGTAAAAAAAAAAATAATAATAAAACAATTACATTATCTTACACCTAAAGCAAATACTTTAAGGAATTTTTTCATTATTTTTTCCTGAAAGCAGTCTTTAAGTTAACACGGTATGCATGAAATGTTTGAAATGTATAATCATGCTACATATATAATGACTTCAGTTTTTAAATTTAGGTCTGTTGTACCATTAACTCATGGAGAGTATAGTTTTGTATTTATGTAATGTTTCAGCATATGGTAGCTCTGACAATGAGATCCATCAAGTTTTGCAGGAGCAAGCCTCTAGGTGAGACTATATAGATACTGGTAAAACTCAAACCTAGGTGGATTTTTTGAATTCACATTGACAAAACTGCCAAATTCTGACAGTGAAAAATGACTCCTTTGAATCTTGTGAAGGCTGTGGTTCGAGTTTTACATATGACACACACACACAAACAAATGCACACAAAACTAGTTATTTCAGAAGAGTAAAAGAGGCCCTGCTATTTAATCCTGAGTGAATAAATGTTATCAATAATACAGTAAGTTGCAATAAAGTCATATGGAAAAGAAAAAAATTAGATTTTTTGTTCATTGAAAGCTGATAATGATTGTGGTCTTGAAAAGATAAGCAAAAAATTAGTATAAGAACTAAAGACAGGTATATGTAATGGGTCCTACATAATATTGATTTATGAAAATTATGCTCTGAAATCAGTAACTACATCAGTTTTAATTAATGCTTTTTCAGAAGTGGAACCTCCTACAGTGGGAAAGAATGCTCAAGATGTCAAGAATTACGTCAGGAATATACGTGTGATAGACAACCAGAGAATATTGACTCGACTGTCACAAAGACTAGAGCCACGTAGATCCTGATCAAACACAGTGACATAGTTGTGGCTTTTGGTTTCTGAACCTTTCTCTGTCATCTTCATGAGAAGTGATGAGAAATTGAGGTCGTGGTTTTAAAATTGCAGAAGAAGGTGGTTTTTTGTGTGATCATCAAAGACTACAGAAGGAGAGGATCTTGACTGATCAAAAAAGACTATAGAAGATGATCAGATGTGATCAATAAAGAATACAGAAGGTCCTGCGTGATCAAAAAAGACAGAAGTAGAGGATATTGTGTGATAAAAGAAACGACTTTAAACAGAAAAAGTGGATCAAATGTGATCATAAAAGACTTCAGAGGAAGAGGATCTCATGTGCCCAATGAGGAAGACAGTGACAAACTTCAATCAAAGGTGCCAAGAAAGTTTGCTATTTAAGCCAACAGAAGATTTGTCAGAATATCTTGTTCCTAACTTTACTCTTTGGAAAATAGTAAAATGGCTAACTTTCCAGTTATGTAATGCCACTGAATCAACTTGTCTTCCTGGTGAAGAACAAAAAGATAGAAGTTACTGAACACAGTTAGGTTACTTTATATTTTTTCTAGTAACTTAAAATTCTGCATCAGGATGTTCATACAATAAGAAATTAATTATTTAAAATCAAAGAAGTGGGTACACCCATCATGTAGTGCCAGTGTTTTTGTAAAATTCACATAAGATTAAAGGTGCCAGACATTTTAAATTGAACAACTGGTGCAGTTAGACCTGGCATGATTTTATATCAGTTTGAAACACAACTGTTATCATAATATAACAAACTAGAGAAGTTGTACATATCATTTAGCTTATTGAATCTTGAGAATGAAAGAAAGTAAATGCGTGCCACATTTCAAGGATTTTGAAGCCAAATCTGTAGTTAGAAAGAATTCTACCAGGTATGTCAGGAGTAACTTGGCGTAAGGGCTTGTGTGACAGACAGCCAGAGGACATTTAAGTAAATATTTACAAATGTTCAAAACTCATGTAGGTCCTGATCCTGTGTTGCCATGGCAGAGTAGTTCTTATTAGAGAGCTTCAGAAGTGTTTGTCAGTTGACAAAATAAGTTTTATTTACATACAAAAGTTATCACTGACAGGTCTAGTTTATCCATACATTTTATTTCGTTTTATTTATTTTATTTTCTCAAGTGTATAAAGAATATATAATCAATCAGTGACAGTGTTACGCACATTACAATGCACCATAATAATAGTTATGATTATAAGATGAGGCAGAATATTTTGTGTTGCAATGGATGGAGTCATCTACGAAGCATGAGGTGGTAGTGCTTACAGATGACAGGACTATATACACTGGGAAACAATTAAGGGTTTTTCCAGAAACGTTTAAACAAGACCCAATTCTGGCTGCAGAAGACTGGCACAAGCAAATGTCCACGTCATGAAACATTTCAGATAAAATAATCTTGAAAGTAACCTCAAGTTATTATGAGGCAGTTGTAGCAATAAAAATCGTTTGTACATACTGGTTAGATATTTCTATTCAGGTATATTTTGAATTATTTTAAATTCTTCTAGCCTTTTACTAATGTGCTTTTAAATATCTGTTTATAACAAAAAGCCCAGTGAAACAGTTATTTGAATTATTATGTGTTGATATTTAGAGTGTAATTTTCTTTAGTGTAAAGCGAGTTTACTGCTGCTAGAAACTTTTTGAAAATATTTGTTTTTAGTACTGCTCAGTCAGATCCCTTTCTAATACCTTGTTTACATCGTGAGCCTATGTGTATGAGCCCAAGTCCTTTTTAATATCATGACAAATTTAATTTCATGGTGCAAAAAATAAATGTACAATTTGGATTTTTAAAATTGTCACCTGTAACTATAAATATTCTTCAAAGTTTATTATTATTACTATTATTTTTGCACCTTGATATTCATTTTAGTCAGAATGAATTTTTTATCACAAAATTATAAATTATTAGTTATGGGAAACTGATATCACATAAGAGGAAAATGTATTATTAAATCTGTCAATGTATTTATCCAAAGTTGCTATGTCTATCGCTGACCGATGCCTACATTATTACTTCAAAAATCCAGTATTAGATTTTTTTCATGTCCTTTCTCTCTCTTGTTATAACTGATGTTCTTTGTACATTTTTGCTACTTGCAGTTCTTCATGGGGCATAGATTTTGAACTTTCATTTTTAAACAGAATAACTGACCCTAATGTTAATACTGTTACATATGAATCGTTGTACAGAAAGCACTATACAAAGAATATAATTTGTCTTTTATATTCTTAAAATGAAATAAAAAATGTAACGAAAAAAACCCTCACATTATGCATATTCTTGTATTGCTTTTTTCAAAAGGCGCATGTCCATATTGCCTGGTACACAAGTTGTGTGGTGAAAAAAATACAAATTTCTTTACTTTGCAATTAATTTATCACTTCTATGTGAAATATGCTGATAAAGCACTTCGTTTATCACACAGTGTACATCTTTGCACTTTATAAAAATTAACACGACAGCACAACAAGAATTAATCGTCTGGACCTCCCATCTCCATGTTAAGACGTCTGCCATTTTAAATTCTTCAATGTTCTGCTTTAAATGTACTTGGAGTTTGACATATTGAAGTATTTGAATATTTTTTATATTGCCATTAATTCTCCCTTCCTGATGGCCAACTACAGAAAGTTTTGCATATTTGACAAAGGTGAGAATAAACAGCCTCACACTTTTGAAAAGTAAATTTAACAATAAAATTTAATTTTATGAATTAATATGAGACCAAATTCTAGCCCTAAAGACACTTATGCAAGTTTTGCTTTACACGTCGAAAAATGTTCTGTCATTTAAAAAAATTAACATCTTAACAATATTAAAATGCATAATAACAATAATAAAGTTAATCATTAAAAAAAGTTCGATGCAGAACTGAAATCTTGAGTGATTTAAAGGGGTAAAATAATCAAGTATTATTAAAAATAGGTTTCATTCTAATGTGAATAAATTAATACTTCACATTTTCATGTCAGTGCTTCACCCTTCTAAAAATCAATTTGCACATGAAAACTACTTCCCAATTTCAATAATTTGACACGTCATTTTAGGTCAACATATCAATAACTTCAGCAGCTAGGGACATTTCTCTTTTTTAGCCTGCGTCAAAAGTTTCCGTTTCACAGAATCTCTGTCAGCTCTTGCAAAAGCATGTTTTCTAACATCGTTTGCACGTTTTTGTGGGCTATTCCTCTTTTTGCCAGGACTCCTCTGCAGCCTATTCGGACTGGTTGAAATAATTTTCGCACTTTTTGTCGGAGACACTGAACCCTGTGTCATTTTGGCATATTTCCAATTTTTAAGAAACCTTTCCCCAGAGGTGTTACGATTTGAAGGAGAAGCAAAACAATCTTTCCCAGATCTCTCCTCTCTACAGCGCAAAGTGTTAGGGCTTTTCACGGGACTCGCAGAGAGAATCTTTAAAGTTTTACTAGGCGAAACGTTGCCCTGAACCATCATGGAATACTTCCAATTCTTCCATTTTCTTTCCCCAAAATTTGGACTTTGGGCATTTTTTGATGGGCTCGTCTTGCACAGCCGCCTACTTGTCCTGCCACCTACATCTGGTTTTACTGGAGTCTGTGCCTCAGCCTGATCAACAGAAGTGTCAAATGCCATGCTCACTGAGCGTCTGAAGGCTTTGGATTGAAATACATTATAATTGTAAACTCTGGGCTTTTCTGTTGACTCCTGTTGAGTATGACGATTATCATCTCCCCAAGAGTTTTTGGATACATTTAGAGGATTTTTCTGAAGATTTCTCCTCACAGTTTCTGCTCCATTGGAAGGAGTCACACTTAACTTTCCAGCAAACAATTTCCTACCCTTCAATCCAGAAGACTTCCTCTTTCTGTTCATGGCAGAATTTTTCAGACTTCCCCTAGATTTACTCATGGCTGAATTTGACCTCCTTGGACTGATCACAACATTGGGGTCTGTAGCTTTTAGAGAACAGAATGCCTTTCGTCTCCGTTGGGGGCTTGCATAATTAAAACGAATTTCAAAGTCTTCTTCATGAATGTCATACGCATCATCAATCACATCCTTATTTTTTACTTCCAGGGAGCGCCTCCTCACTTTGTTTCCATGCTGTGCTGTAGCTGCACTGATTTCTGGGATAGTGGATGCAATGGAGTCCACAGAGGACGTACTTCGTCTGCGCCTTCTTTTGAAAATCACCTCGTCTTGCTTTTCTCCTGTTACCAGTGAGGATGAGTGACTTTTAGAACATGCAGCTTTCCCACGTTTAGTTGACACGGACTGTCCATTGTCAGTTTTAGTAACATTTTGACCCGAAGTCACCAATCTTGACGGATTTTCTTCCTCTCCTTCATCCCTGACTGAGGCGCCCTCTATTCTGCTGCCTGAAGTATATCAATAATCAGCATGTTTTTGTATGAAATAATAATTACCTATTCAATATACTAGGCAGCCCATCTTTTTAAAAACAACAAATATCAACTTTCTGTTTGGGATTTCACACTTACCAAATGAATACAAGATATTACTATTCAAAATTATTGTTCTTTTTGATTGAATTTTCTAGCAGTCAAAAATCTTAATATCATACTTTTTTCTAACAAAATTCAGTTGCTTAAAATTTATCTAATATCATACTTTCTTCTAACAAAATTGAGTTCTTTGAAATTCAAAGGAAAGGCACTAGCAATATAACTGTGATGTATAACGTCCCACAATACTTACTCTTTCTGGACCTGCTTAGCCTCTCTTTCTTGACACGTCTGGTCGCCCCTGACTGAAGAGGGGCTGAGGTGATTTCAGTCCTGAGTGGCGTAGAGGTATTTAGCGGAGGTGGACTAAACTCTATAATTTCACTGGAAGGTTCCAGACCTTTCCCCTGTGACTCAACAAGAGTGTCCACATGGTCACTTGCTGGTTCAAAACCACCACTCTGGCCTTCAATTTGGTCCAATTGTCCAATCTGTCCATTGTCCAGCGGTGTCACATGCTTAGCAATGCTAAGGTGAATGTCATCAGTCTTCTCCTCCACGGAGTCCACCTCTGAACCAGGGACTTCGATCAAAATCACTTTGGAGGTAGAATTTTTTCGGGTCACTTTTATGATTTGCACACTCTCCTCATCTGTGCCCCTCTTATGGACACCCGACTCATTAGTATTATGGGACTTAAGGGCGCCTTGGACGGAATTACGCCTGCTGTTGGTTTTGCTTTGCGATTGTCCGTGCATCTTAACTGAAGATGTCTGTGACTGATGACATCGGACTGCCACTGTCGTTGAGGAAGCAACTTGGTTTTTGGCTCTATTTGTCTGAAAACCGTTACTTTTTATTTTTTCCCTTTTTCCCACCATGTTTCCACCCTTTACAACTCCATGGTCACTCCCTATGTTTTGACTACCCCTGGCTTTTTCGTTCCTTTTCACATCCTGTCTTTCCATCTTTCTTCTTTCCAGCTGTATATTTTCCAGACAACAAACTTCCTTTAGTAACTGATAAATCCCTGTCTTGCCTTCTTCATGACGGTAAGGGTCAGTTGTCCGAAGTGGAAACCTCGTAGTGACCATCTTGACTGGACTTTTTATCGGACTCTTCCTTGGTGATTTCCTCTCTGGTGGTGGGATCACCATCAAGTTTTTCTGAGAAATTTGCTGTTTTTTCCCTCTCTCGATGCTGTCCTCAAGATAGTGGTAGCACTGGTCTGCCCAGTCCGAGGGCTCGTTGATGTCGTCCAGACTGGTGTTAATATGCATCTTGAGACTGCGTAAATAATGGTCTTGTTTCTCTGCTTCATAATCTGAAAGGACAAGATCGTGTCTGGTGAGATAGCAATTGATCATTTATATAGGTAATTCATGGTAACTAGCACAACACACAGCTGGGGTAGTATATGTGAGATACCTTGTTAAATACTCTTAGAACAAAGATGCAAGATAAGGAGTCTTTCAGCTTTCAGATTATTTGCAAAATGCAATCTGGTTGGCTTGGTTCATCAAGTCTTTGTGAAGACCTTTTTTTTTTTTACATCGTTTCCTTTTTTTCTAAAACAGTGCCCTAGATCTCTGAGCAGGTGGATGAAAATAAAAAAAATCTTCCCTAGCTAAAAAAAAAGTTTATAAAGGTAAACCTTCAAATAACCTGCCTCTAACGCAAACTTCATACTTACTAGTCAAAATCCACTCAATCTCAGAATTCTCGTCAATCTCAATTTCCGTGAGGTCCACATACGACACATCAGTTGGAAGTTCCGGAATGGCATCATTAGAATCATTAAAACCTGCAAAATCTTCACCATCAATTTCACTCTGGAACAACTTCTGCATGCTGCGATCACTCAAGACTCTCCACGTCTTTTTAAGCTTCACTTTCCGCTTGTTCAACATTTCCTCCTTCTTGCCAAGTTTTTTGGACTTTTTCACGCCACCTTCCTTGACTTTACTCCCGGCAGGTTTTTCGTTCTCTTTAGTAGGGGAAACAACAGTGCCACCTTTAGTCCTTCTCTGGGATTTAACAGATTTTTTGGAAAGATTTGCACTTGACTGAGCAGGCTCTGTCTCCACTAGCAAATCGACACCTGCTTGTTTACGTTTCCTACCAGTGCCCCTTGTTGATTTTATTGGTGACACCACAGCGGCAGTGGTGGGATCAGACACTAACGAGACACTCTTGTCTTTGTTACCCACACCAGTCAAGTCAGTTCTTCTACAAGGAAGGGGTAAAGTTTCCTTACTAATTGGAGTAGAGGTGACATGCATTACGATTATATCATTGCCAGAGTTTGTCTTCTTTCCACCTGTCTTACTGTCTGCTGTTTCTTTTTTGGCATCAGGCGAAGACGCATTGAAGGCAGGCGTAGCACTTTGCGATTTATCACACACAGTTTCATTGTTTTTAGTAGCAACTTCTGTGCTCTGATTAATACCATTAGTAACAATATTTTCTGACACGGTCACCGCCTTGTCTACATCATCTACACCACCAGCTGGCAGTGGAATCACTGCTTCTGTTGCAGTATTGTTTATAGAGGTCTCCAAGCTTCGTCTTTTCCTTTTCCTTGACAGTGACAGTCTATCAGGATCATTAGTTTTACCCTGATTACCAACTTCTTTTTGAACTTTGTCCTCTATTTCTTGACTATGAACTTGAACAGAACTGCTTTGTACTCCCTGACCAAATGGTGACTTTTCTGAGCACAAAACAGTGTTTACATCAGTTTGAGCTAGTCCTTGGTTTTTATCTTTATCTTTAACCAACTTTTTCTTTAGTCCTTCTCACCGTCCTTCCTTCCACACTGCCACATCTTTCATTGCTCTCTTCAAGGTCAACGACCTCCAGTCCAAGGTCAATGACCTCTTGGGGAAGGTCTGCGACCTGTTCAACTTCAATAATATTAAGGTCTGGGTCAGAAGCCTTCTCTGACACAGGCACTGGCTCCAGCAGCTGCTTGGTCTTTAAACTTCTCAGGTTGCTCTGTCCTTGCTGTTCTCCACTTTTAGGTGCTGTTGAAGCAGGCTTTGATTTGAACAGAGCTTTCTTTCCCTTCGTGGTGCTGGTTTGTGCTGGGCTTACAGTTTCTGCAGACTTTGCATCTTTGCCTGCCACAGGTCTCTGAGAATTTGAGGCCTTGGATGTCCTTCCTGCTGCTGGTGGTGCCCTCTTTTCTGGTGTCAACAGTTCAACTTCCTCCCCTTCACTGCTGCAATAGAAAGACAAAAATAATGAGTAATTTGAACAATACTAAGCCTAAGGTGTTCAAAATTCCACTGGTTTCGTATGTTTGGTATGACCAATGGAAAAGGTACAATATTGATCGTAAGAGATGAGGGTGTGGTCTTTGTGCGGCCTGGGAGACACAGAAACTGTTAACTCTTTTAGCTGAACATATTGGCCATCAGATTATTGTTTGCTTATATATTTCATACATTGAGACACTAACAGGGGGCTGTTCCTGTCGCACTTACCTCTGGGCCTCCTGTAAGTGTAACGGATGGTAGTCCTGCACGTCTCTCAAGAAACGATCCATGTTTGGCCCTCGACTGATCAACAAATCCAGATTTCTCCACGGACTCTGGTTGTCCTCGTAGGTGCGTTTGTGCTCCTTGGAGGCTACGTGCTGGGGAAAGAAGGAGACAATGAACCATCAGCTTCATATTTCAAGATTCTTTTCAATGAGTACTTAGATATAAATAGTCACAGAAGACTCTCTCTCCATACCTCAGTATGAGGCTATAAAATTTGAGTTGCATATTCAAGTGGAACATTCAAATTGTGCAATGTTCATAATTTTCAGCCAATAACAAAGCAAAAAAATGTCATCTACAAAATTTGACTGGGATAATAATTTGAGTTATAATTGGCTAGTTTATGCATTAGAAGTTTTATCATTTAAGGTCTAAAATGATAATGATAAGTTGATTTTCAGGATATATAAAGGAAATATGTCTTTTGGCAAATTTCAAATGTGCACTGTACACCTTTGAAAAGTACATGTTGGGTTTACTTGTAGTAGAAATGGATATACCCAACAGTGGTATGCACCCACCTTATCAATGTTATTATAATGGAGCTTGCACATTTCACAGTATCCTTTCTTGGCATCTGCCTTTCTTTTGGCTTCCTTCATTCTCTTCAGCTCGCCAGCAGTCACCAGTGTATTCATGGCATCAGATGTGCCTGCCTTAGCCTTGCCTGAACCTTGCCTGGATAGGATAAAAACAAATGTCATGAACTGGAAATGATACTTCTTATAATATTAGAGAAATAAACTGGAAACAAGGCTTTCTCCAGAGAACCATCTAGCTATCATAGCCACTGGCCTCAAAAGACAGCCTATATTTTCAAAGACAGCTGGATGTCTTATGATATTTTTGGGGAAAGACCCTATATTTGTGATTAGAATGATTGTAAATAGTTGACCAAGTTACTGTTCAACATTACAGACTCACACATGACACACACACATTTTGTGACATGTTAAAACCTGTTGCATATAAATTCATAATTACAGTTGATTTTTTCCTTTTAGTAGGACACTTAAGTATAAAACAATGATACTAATAGAGGAGATAAGAATTATGCAAATATTACACAAAATTTGTGTCACTCAAGTTACTCAGTTGTTTCTTTGTGAAACAACCTTCACCAGTTTCAATATATTTGGTTCTTTACACTTCACTCACCCTCGTCTTTGTGGCGTTCCTCCTGTATTTTGTTCATCAACCTCCTCCTGCTCCTGGCCGCCCTCTGCCCTTGGTTCAGGCGCAGCACCTATAGCCTCATTATCAAATGGACATGTGCCACCAGGTGAGGCTAAATTTAAGACGGGCCAAGTGTCAAATTCTTTGTACACAGGCTTGTAATGGTGGTTTCTGGCCTCAAACTTCAAAGACTGGCCACCCAGTTGTTTCTTCTCTGAAATCAGATTTGATATCTACTAGTTAACCAAAAATAATCTAGAAATCTATTTCATGAGAGTGTCAGGGTTAAGATCAATCATATTTTTCACAAGACCAAACTCACAGAAAAAAAATAAATATCAATATTTGTATTTTAACCTCAGATGCCATCAGTCTAAATACTCATTCACATTTAAATGTTGCTGCAATTTACTTTTTAAGCACAGCATTAAGATTTCACAGGCTTGATAAGGTCTTAAATTTATTGAGTGGCATTTTTTACAAATGATTCCATTTAAATTTTTATGTTTTTAAACTACATCAAGAACATGACATTTTCATATAATAATTATGTGTGTTCATATATTAATAAGTCCATTTGAATTTACTTCATTTGTTTCATTTTTTTCTTTCTTTACAAAATCAAAACGTTATACATAACCAACTTATACCTGCTCTAAATTTGGAAGGAGTATCATCTTGAGTTTTGGCGACTTCTTTACATTTGCTAGTTTCCCCCATAGTTCCTTTTTCTGCCAACCATTTCTCTACAGCTAACATAACAAATGAAACTCCAATCAAATGACAAAAAATCAATATGTAAAAATACAGTCCAGTTAATTATGGAATATGATAAATGTAATCCACTGTAAAAAAAAAAATAATCAACATTTTACAAACTGTTATTCATGGGGATTTATCCACTATTTTATTAGACTCTCTGAAACTTACTTGAGATGTGAATGATTCGAACTCCAAACTTTTTGGCATTTGCAAGAATATTGCTGGTCCCCTGAAAAAAAAAGATAAATACTTTTTCCATTTTTTATTCTTTTAATATGATAATAAAGTCCTACAGATAAAGGCTAATCCTGAACCACAAAAACATTAATTACCTGTACTTTTAAATTTAAGCGACAAACAACAGAACACCCAGTGTTCTCCACAATTCAAAACNAAATAAATGTCATCTACAAAATTTGACTGGGATAATAATTTGAGTTATAATTGGCTAGTTTATGCATTAGAAGTTTTATCATTTAAGGTCCAAAATGATAATGATAAGTTGATTTTCAGGATATATAAAGGAAATATGTCTTTTGGCAAATTTCAAATGTGCACTGTACACCTTTGAAAAGTACATGTTGGGTTTACTTGTAGTAGAAATGGATATACCCAACAGTGGTATGCACCCACCTTATCAATGTTATTATAATGGAGCTTGCACATTTCACAGTATCCTTTCTTGGCATCTGCCTTTCTTTTGACTTCCTTCATTCTCTTCAGCTCGCCAGCAGTCACCAGTGTATTCATGGCATCAGATGTGCCTGCCTTAGCCTTGCCTGAACCTTGCCTGGATAGGATTAAAACAAATGTCATGAACTGGAAATGATACTTCTTATAATATTAGAGAAATAAACTGGAAACAAGGCTTTCTCCAGAGAACCATCTAGCTATCATTTGGACAGCCACTGGCCTCAAAAGACAGCCTATATTTTCAAAGACAGCTGGATGTCTTATGATATTTTTGGGGAAAGACCCTATATTTGTGATTAGAATGATTGTAAATAGTTGACCAAGTTACTGTTCAACATTACAGACTCACACATGACACACACACATTTTGTGACATGTTAAAACCTGTTGCATATAAATTCATAATTACAGTTGATTTTTTCCTTTTAGTAGGAGACTTAAGTATAAAACAATGATACTAATAGAGGAGATAAGAATTATGCAAATATTACACAAAATTTGTGTCACTCAAGTTACTCAGTTGTTTCTTTGTGAAACAACCTTCACCAGTTTCAATATATTTGGTTCTTTACACTTCACTCACCCTCGTCTTTGTGGCGTTCCTCCTGTATTTTGTTCATCAACCTCCTCCTGCTCCTGGCCGCCCTCTGCCCTTGGTTCAGGCGCAGCACCTATAGCCTCATTATCAAATGGACATGTGCCACCAGGTGAGGCTAAATTTAAGACGGGCCAAGTGTCAAATTCTTTGTACACAGGCTTGTAATGGTGGTTTCTGGCCTCAAACTTCAAAGACTGGCCACCCAGTTGTTTCTTCTCTGAAATCAGATTTGATATCTAGTTAACCAAAAATAATCTAGAAATCTATTTCATGAGAGTGTCAGGGTTAAGATCAATCATTTTCTTCACAAGACCAAACTGATAGAAGAACAAATAAATATCAATATTTGTATTTTAACCTTAGATGCCATCAGTCTAAATACTCATTCACATTTAAATGTTGCTGCCATTTACTTTTTAAGCACAGCATTAAGATTTCCCAGGCTTGATTATGTCTAAATTTATTAATAAGTGGCATTTTTCACAAATGGTTCCATTTATATTTTTATGTTTTTAAACTCCATCAAGAACATTACATTTTCATATAATAATTATATGTGTTCATATATTAATAAGTCCACTTGAATTTACTTCATTTGTTTCATTTTTTCTTTCTTTACAATATCAAAATGTTATACATAACCAACTGATACCTGCTCTAAATTTGGAAGGAGTATCATCTTGAGTTTTGGCGACTTCTTTACGTTTGCTAGTTTCCCCCACAGTTCCTTTTTCTGCCAACCATTTCTCTACAGCTAACATAAGAAATGAAACTCCAATCAATTGACGAAAAATCAATACGTTAAAATAGTCTAGTTAATTATGGAATATGATAAATGTAATCCACTGTAAAAAAAAAAAAAACATTATCAACATTTTACAAACTGTTATTCATGGGGATTTATCCACTATTTTATTAGACTCCCTGAAACTTACTCGAGATGTGAATGATTCGAACTCCAAACTTTTTGGCATTTGCAAGAATATTGCTGGTCCCCTGAAAAAAAAAAGATAAACACTCTTTCCATTTTTCATTCTTTTAATATGATAATAAAATCCTACAGATAAAGGATAATCCTGAACCACAAAAAACATTAATGAACTGCACTTTTAAACTACAGCAACATACAAAAACCTACAAGCTCAGTTGAGTTGTGACAACTTGGCTATATAATGCTACCTCAGATTCAAAGTTCTTGACTTAGCTGGTATAGGGATGTGACGAGAAAAGTTGTAAAATGAGAAAGAACCCCCCACCCCCCTCATTATCATGATGTAATCATATCATACAAAAACCAGGTCCTTTCCCCACCCTCATTCACACATTGTAAAGAGGAAATTATTCAGCTAAAAGAAGAAAGAATCTTGTCCATGTCATTCTCTCAAACTGATCTAATACAGTGACTATTTCTAGCCCCAACATGTAAAGGCTGACCACTCACCCTGGACCCTTTAGCTGCCTGCTGGACAATCTTCTTCCCTCTGGACAGCGTCTTCTCAGCGTCCCCCTGGGCAGGGGAATTGGTCTGGGGGGACTCCACCCCTGGGGACGCCAGGTTGAATGGACTGGGGGTAGAAACTGTGGAGTGGTCATTGTCTCTGCACTCCCTGGCGGTCAGCTGGTTGGTGACTAGGTACTTGATGTCTTTGCTCAGGAATTCTTCTAGTCTCTACAATTTCCAAAACAAATATTTAAAATTAGTAATCACTGGATTTGCCTTTAAAAAATAATAAATAAATAAATAAATAAATAAATAAATAAATGCTCACATATCTATAATCAAAATGGCATACTTTCACTAATTTAAAGTGAAATACAACTAAAAAGTAACAATATGAGATATCTTAATAAAAATATAGGGGCAATTGTTGGTTCTATCAAAGTTGATACAGAGCTATTGGCTGGAATTAAATGATTGTTGTTAAATGACTATGTGATTACCAATACCAACTGAAACAACACATTACTTAGTGGATGATATATAACTGTTCCAAATATTGGCAAAATAAGTGATACTTCACTGATGAAAATAAGGTTAACTTTTTATTAAGTTTTTTGGAACCAAAAATCCCAGTTATAATATCACATGGCAATATGATCATGTCTATTTAAGCAAAATAAATATGGGTTAATGCCCCAACATGACACATCACATATTCTAAATTTTATTGTGTACAAGATGTATTCATACAATTTTCTAAATACTTAAAGAACGCGAAGGGGCAAAATGAACCTCAATTCCTTTTCACAAATTCTGATTATTTTTTTAAACAGGAAATATTTCATATTAATTATTGACAAACACAACTCACAGCCCCATGCTTGATGAGATCCTCTTTTAAATTCCTCAGCTTTCCTTTGTATTGTTTGGACCCTGTGTAGTTGGTGAGGTGAAGATAGAAACTTTTGCCCCTCAATGGTTTCAGAGAGTCAGCTTTCTGTCCAGTATCACAATCTGAAATAGGGGCATATAAATCAATACCTTGTCAGGAATAAGGAGGGGAAACAACCAAAACTGAATGTAGAAAGATATTCAACAGCAGAGATTTGAAAGGGGAATGATGCAAAATTAAGTACATAGTTTCCTCACTACTGGCGTACTACCTAATTAATGTACTTGGTGCCATATTAGAAAAACGTAAGTTTAGTATGCCTTAACATTACCGCAGAATGTCCAAATCATTTACGAGGAAATATTGTAAATACATAATATACAAGTACTACTAATCGAAAGCCACGTTCAATAATTACATAACTTGCGCTTTCCTTTTAATTTTAAACAAATCACAACTTCATCGATTACAGGGCTAGACACTAACTTTTATGAGCACCTGTCCTTCGGACAGGTGCTCATAAATTTGACCTGTCCGATTTTCAATCCAACCTGTCCACAAAACCAATAATTTTCTTCTATTCATACGTTTGAACTTTGTCAATTTATATGTGTGGTCATACATTTAAATTAATGTATATATTACCAAAACATTCAATCATATGAGCCCCGAAAATGCACCTTAAAGTGAATCTATGTTCAGATTAAAATTTGTTTTTTCATACTTGTGAACTCCTGAAGATTTAATCTTGCATTTAAGTCTGATAATTCACATCAGGGCTTCTCCTAGGATTTGGGGTACAGGGTCTACTAATTGTAAGTCTGCAATTTGATAACAGATTCACATGAAGTTTAACCAAAGCTAAAAAAAAACNGATATTTAAAAATGAGAAAGAATTCTAATGCCACATTACCTTTAGGTTTCGTCGAATTTCCACCTTTTGATTTCATTTTAATGACAAATTTTGGTGATTTTCACTTCTTCATTCTGCAGGCCTAGGGCGGATGGGGGTCCTCGAACAAAAACAATCAACAACTTACTTGGGACACCTCCCGTTTAGTTTAAAACCCAGCGACATAGCAAAACCTGTTGTGTATTCAAGCTCTACTCATAGTAGAATAAATTACGTTTAACCCAGTTTCGGTAGCGATTAGCTAGATTTTTGCTAGTTCTCTCAAACATGGCTCGTTTTTACAGATTTGATCTCGCTACTGTTCGACTCCATTTGCATTGTTGGCGCCAGTGGCTCTGCAGCCAAGTCGAAAATATGATTATATTTGGTCATACGCAAACTAAATAAAATAAGAAATAGCTAAAAAATTATAAATAATATTCAGAAATATCGAATGTTTATAATTTAAAATATACCACATATTTAATTTTGTTTATTTTATGGCACAAGGACCGCATCCAAAATTTAATTTTATAGAGGTCGCGTCAAAACCAGAAAGCCCACAGTCTTATTTCTGGAGAGGGGCAAATTCAAAACGTGCGTTAAAACGTTTAAAGGTCATTAAAAATTATATTGCTGTAGGTTTTGTACATGCTTTACCTTGGTGACCGAGTAAAAGTGTTGAAGAAAGTTACTAGTAAGCTTTTGCTGTTTGACTGCTTGGTTGTACTTTACTGTTTACTGAAAATGGTCACGTGACAAAATAGGTCATTTAATTAGGTCAAAGGGAGGGAGCAGATAAGCATGAGTCTACACATGCTTCTATTCTCACATATCTCAGAGGAAAGGCAAAGACAAGGGACATTCTCTTTTGCAAAATTATTTTGTAACAGTTATGGCGAAATCTGTTCAGAGACGTGGAAAAGCTGACGGAAGACAAAAGCAGCGCCAGGAAACACAGTCGACTCCTTCCTCCAAAAACAAAACAAACATATCTGACACAGGGGACCAAAAGGCGAAATATGTGATGTTTTCACTAGGACTGTGTATCATTTTAGGACTGATTTTACAGCCATATGTTTCTTCATTCATTGGTACCCTGAAAAGCGTCCAAAATGAAAAGACTGATGAAACAGCAGAAGTGAAAAAAAGCAAACCCCAACCGAGTTCAAGCAATGGACAAAGTATCTCACCTAAGTCTCAGACCCAGTCAAGCTCAAAGACCTCTAAAGCACCAAGTCAGGATCAGCTACCAGATGAAGTAAAGAATTTTAAACCAACAATTTTAGACGCACTTGTTGCCAAGAAGATATTTGCTGATGGTCGGCGTATACCCCCAGTAGAGTTGTTACATCAGAAGACCACCAATAGCACTGTGAAGTTAGTACAGTTTGTCAGCCTGAGAATGTTTTAATCACAATCTTTTTTACCCTTTTAGTTATTTATGTGGTCATGGTTGGGGCATGGTCTCCCTGAATCTGCCAGTGGAAACAGACGAAATTAAATTCACACAAATTTTAGTCGACAGTAACAAAACTTTACTTATTTTCTAATTTTTATCATTGTATGTGAAATTTACCAGTCTCTATATATCCTTTACAAGAGGGGCTTAAAAACAGAAAAAGAATGCAAAAACTTTCACAAGTGTTTTGGAAATCCATTTGAGGTACTGATGATAAAGGGGAAATAACTGTTACAGTACCAAGTAAATTCCAACTAATTATTTGCATTAAGGTCAATCACTCTTTGTCTTTAAACTACTCTTTAAACTACTACTAGTACATTAATTATTCCAGGGTCTACTTATTCAATGATTTCCTATCAGAAGCGGAATGTGACGGTCTACGTAAAGCACATGACAGTCATGTGGCTGCTGCTACGGTGGACCCCATTGTTTGCTTTGACAGTATTACCACACTGCGAAGACACCTGAAAGATGCCAAGAAGAATATCAAAGTTTCCCCCAAGGATTTCACTTCTGGTAACATTAGACAGCACCCTGAGTTTTAAAGGGCACTATCTAGAAAGTCGTCATTCTAGCACTATACTTATTGTATGCCTCCTCTTTCTGTCTTTGAAACTCGGGTTGCATGGTTGCCACATGTATATCACAGGTCATTAAGCATGCACATGTATGCTCCTGAATGAGTTGTGATACAGAACATGAACCATAATACCATTGTTTACAGCATCTCACTGTCTCACAGAACAGACATTAAAATAGCTTATTGTGATACCATAGGGACATTTAATTGATTCATGGCACATCGTTAGATGTAAGAATAATTTATACTTTAATGCATATGTTTTCATCCACCTTTGCCAGGAGAAAGTTTTTGTCAGTTAATCCGTGGAATTCTTTTACAATTCACAGGAACAACATGTTTGAATGAGAGCTTTTCACGAGACTTCAAGGCGTTTACTAAAGGCAACTGGAGCTTCAGCACAGCGTTCTACCCAGGGGAGAGCAAGTTTTCCAAGGTGTTTGAGCACCATGTGGAGCAGGCCACAGCTTTGAAGAAAGAAAATGGAGGAAAATTTCAAATAACCTCTTATCCACTTGGAGTAGGTGAGTATGTGCATATGAATGCTTTTGTTTCAAGCAGATTTTTGAGACATTTATGATTTATGTCATCTTTTGCAATATAAATGTCTTCATTTCAGGTGATGTTCAATTTGAAGATCAGAAAAGGCAAAAAACATGTTCTGCAATCAAACAATAATACTTTGAAATTTCTAATCCTTATTTTAATGATCCCCACAGGGTATAAAAAGCACACAGATTGTGTAGTTGGCAGTCAAGAAAAGAGGGACAGATTTGCAACGATATTAGTATATTTGCAAGATGTGGAAAAGGGAGGAGAGACAAAATTTCCAGGTAATAAAGTGCCAATTAAGATGACTTAGTACTTGTGTATGTTTCATCTGGTTAAGATGAGTGCATGAGTGTGATAAGTGATTTACTAAAACTGTTGCTTTCAACCCTTACATTTTAAATAAGAATTTTGTGACAGGAGTTGTGTAAAACACTTAAAGATTCCAAACAGAAAAGATTACTGTTTGGTTACAGAATTTCATTAAGATTGTTAGCTGTCATCAGCATTGAGTTTTATTGTTTTATTGTTTTTATTGTCTTATTAAATCTAATTGTATTGTTTTGAGTAATAGCAATTTGAGTATTATTCTTGTTCTGTTAGAATATATTTTAACATGTTCCAGAGTTGGGGATTTGGGTGCGTCCCAAGAAAGGTCGAGCATTGGTGTGGACCAACATGGACGCTAAGGGTAACTGTGACCCCCTCAGTATCCATGACGCAGCCATAGTAGAGGATGGTCACAAGTATATACTTCAGAGATGGTGAGTGCCACCATTATTATTATTATTATTATTAGATAATAGATAATACTTCTAAAATCTCATCATGTGTCGTCCCAATGGAGCCGAGATGTAATGACTGTACCCCCGCAAGGACGATGCATGGAGAGGTGTGTGAGAGGCGGAGAGACTATTAAAAGATTAGGCGGTTTTCCTTTCATGTACGTCCACCATATTTAGTTCGTGGCTTTGTAGAGTCATGGCTCAACTCGATGTGAATGCAGCCTGTGATTTAATTTTACCTCTGCCAAGAAAGTAATGTTTTTGCAGGTGCTGGTTTCTCTGTCGGTTTTTTTTTTTTTTTTTTTTTAATCAACATTATGGAAAAAGGTTGTGGATGGATTTTGAAAAAGACAGAAATATGCTTATTTAGAGTGATTAAGTTTTATAGGTGATTCCTCAGTTGATTAAGTAATCAATTTATAATGAAGAAAAATTAGCTGCATTATCAGAGATTTGCACTCTCCAAGCACTTTGCTAGTTATGTAATATATTATTAGGGGAATGGCATGAAAACAAAGTTACTAAATCTGAGTCCAAACCTTTTTAAAATGCCTGAGTATTACTGTGGGATAGCAATGTGTGAAGTTTCTGAAAACTAAAATTTGTCTTGGACATTTTGTAATCCATTGAATTATAACGTGCATCTTTTAAGGTAATGAAAATTTGATTTTTTAACCATCTAGTATTACACAATTCTCTCATTGCTTTGCAACATGTTTTACTGCAAGTTTGGGCCTTTTCTTATCCACTCAATAGAACACAAATTTCACGTGAAATTTTACTTTGAAACAGGTATTACTACAAGAGCTTTTACTCCCTGGGGAAGAGACCCCCAGAACCTCCCCTCCCCACACGGGCGCCTGGCACACCACGCGTGACATGTGATGAGTACGAGCAGGGTAGCTGTCGCTGGTACGACGAGTGGAACTTTGAACATGTGTTAGAATATGAGCGACAGAAGCACATCTTAATTTGATTTTGAACTTCAAGATTTTTAGACATCCAGTTGAAATAATTTATAGACTAATTTTTGAATAATTATACTTTGTTATATTATAAGTACCATTATAGTCATGGTAATCATCTGTTGACACCTGAAATAATGTGAAAATTTTTGTGTGTATATATATATATATATATGTGTGTGTTAATTTGTGATCTGTACTTCAATGTAGCTGTTAATTTGTGGTTTATGATTTTTAGAGTTTTTTTAAATATATAAATGAAAAGTACACATTCCAGGACATAAGACAAAAAAAAAAAAAAAAACACACAAACACACCTGGTGTTTTTATAATGCATATCATCTCAGAAAAAGTACCAAATGAAAGCATTTTATGCAGAATTTATTGCTGCAGGGAAAGGGGTAACTTATTGATTTGCCTAAGCATTTATTATAAATATTTTATTTATGAGGATTTATATTGATGGAAAGAAAACATAGAACTTCATATGTATGGACTGTAATTGTTCTGTTTACACACTTTTAAGTTGTCATCTTTCAAGTTTTTTTTTTAATTAAGTTACATTTTTGTGCCAAATTAATTTTGCAAAAAATGTACTTCTTTATATTTTATTTCTGCAATATTTCTTAATGTATCAAAAGCAGGATTCCTAAAGTAATATCCAAGAACTTGAATATTTAGTCTGTATGATATAAATAAAGCGCATAATTTCAAATATTATTTTAGACAAATAAATGAAGTTATGGATGGTTTATTCCACTTCAGATTTTTATTTTATTAGTTATGATTGATTAATACATTTTCTGTCAATTATGCTAGAGTTGTTAATGCGGGGAGGGGGGGGGGGGGGTATCACCCATCCTACAGTAGAGCATGTGCAGTGTGACATCCACCATTGAAAATCCTAAAAACACCATCTACTCTCTACCCCTGCCCCTTTTATTATTTTTTTAAATACTGCTTAGTATGTTCTATTTGATAAGACTGTTATTACAAATCCTAACCAATGGAGTTGTAATTCCATGACATTGCAATGGTCAACCTGTTCAGGGTTAAAAATCATGTTTTCCTACTTGGCACCATATATTGTGCAAAATTCAAATGCTACTGTTTGACTGGCAACACACCGCTACCTCAACCAAGCCCAAAGCTACTGATCCATTGCCAGCTTTCAATCATCAGCGACTCTTAGCCTAACGAGGCACTACAGTTTTCTGGCTTCACTGGATGCCATGGTTTTGTTTTTATTTTATTTTTATTTATTATTATTATTATTATTATTATTATTTTAATATTTGGTCCCAATGGAATGACATCAGGAAGCACTGGGTGGATTTTGTCAATAAATTGATTCAACACATAATGCCAACAAAAACTGAATGCACTATAACTCATTTGTATAGGTCTGATGTATTTATTTACATATTAATGAAGTTCAAAAGATTAAACATCATCAAGCATCAACTGATGCAGAAATTCCATCTGATCATTTTGAGAGGGCTAACACCATTACTGTCATTGTCAGTAACATTAGCAAACATCGGCTGCAATACTGTAACAAAGGAACCGCTTTATTTTGCCTCTGTTCGTCTTAATACCAAGAGCTTACAATATTACCATCAATGTCAGTAATGCCATCATTATCATGAAAAAGTTTCATAGATGTCTACAATGTTGCCCCTCGTCCTCTCGTAACTCAGAACAGCCTTAAGCAAATTCATACATTTTTCTATCCAAAGGATAAAAAGATAAAACCTTTGGCATTATTTTTTTTTCTTACTTTTTTCTTTGAAAATACAATTTTAACATAAACATATAGAAATACATACAAATGTACAATGTTGAGTAAACAGTAAATATTAAGGATGATAAAAATCTAATACATAACAAGTAAAATATGGAGGAGGGGAGGGGGGTCTTTACAAACTGGCTTTTCAAAAGCTCACTATCGATGAATGAACTGTTTATGTGATAAAACAAATATGAAGGCTACATACACTACTCAGCACTGATGCAACATGGAAAAATGGTTAAAAGACCGCTTATTAGGTATGACATTGTGTTAGCTGTCAGGTACAACAGCGAGTTGTTTGTAACTGTATTTTATGTGTGCCAGTGTGTTAGCTATGGCAGTATGTTGGGTGTGACAGTGTGTTACCTATTACAGTATGTTAGGTGTGACTGTGTACTATGACACTGCTTTGTAATGTTCACCTTGCACACCAAAATTTGCCTGGGCAAATGTCTTTGCTTTGCCTAGTGACAGAATATTTTGATGAAAACCTGCAGTGTTTGGGTGTGATTATTTCTGGAATAGACTGTATTAGGTGCGCTAGAATGTTGGTCTCCTCTTGGCATGCCAATTTAAGGTGCTCTTGCAGCATGTTCTCAGAGTATATCTATCTATATATATTTATCACTCAATATTCTCAAAGAAGACCTGGTTAATACACCCAACTAAGCAGCATTTCATACCTATTAAAGTTAAAACCTTAACCTAGTATTCCAAGAACTGGCAGCTTCATATAAACAGGAAAAAATAACAGCCATAAAAAAGAACCACATCAGTTTTTCCCCTCTACTCTCCTTAGCCAGCAAATTCAGTTAAATAAGGCATATAATTGAATTCAAAGTACTACACAATGAACTGTGTGAAATTTTGCATAAAACAATTCCTACCTTTAAATCAAAGTACAGTTTTTTAATTAGAGAAACTGCAGTCGCATAATTCAAGAGTTCAATTCCTTCATGAGTTTTATCGATTCTTTTCACAGAAGCTTAGGCTTCCTTTAAATCTGTCCCTGAGATTCTACAAGTTCAATGACATGCCTGCTAGTAATGAAAATCTGCCTTAGTTGACTCACACTACCATATCAGAAATATTAAAGCAAGTAGCAAAGCCATGCCAAACATCTGAAGCAATGGGTAAATGAAACTACTTTTAACAGTAAAGGAAAAAATCACAAATACTCCTAAAAATGTATCAATATTAATGATAAAAATTCTTAATTTTTTTAGACAAGCCTATACTCTTTTCAAGTCGATATAATGCTCTGTTAAATATTGTTTTAAAACAAATCCATTCCTTCCTCCTGTTACAAATGCTCCTGACGGATAGTCGCACTGCACCAATCCGTCCGCTCCCACATACTGTTAATGGCAGTCACATAAACAAATAGCACTGGTAAGGAAACAAAATCTCAGAAATCTTCTAGGCATCAACAAATGCCCCCTGTATGTGTTCCATTCAAATATTCCTCAAAAATGAAAGCCTGTCCACAAAAGAGTTCATCTGAGCCAAACTGAATTAAATAGCAACCAGCACACATATGGAACTGTTCCTTAGCGGTTTGTCAAGTCCGACAATTAGAATAAAATTTAATCGGTCAGCAATAAGCAATAACAAGTTCGCAAATGTTCACTGTCACAAATTCCTTCCCTCAAGGATCACAATCCAAAGTAACTGGGAAGCAAATCTGAGAAAAACTTTTTACTGTCTGTCTGTGCTGAGATTACAAACCATTTTGTGTCTAAGAGAGGTTTTTGTCTTTGTCTCACTGTTCTGTGAAAACTTCACAATTAAGTCATTACCTCAGCCTCATTATACTTCATACAAGTTATTACGAGTTTCGCACTCAAAACAAGTATCTTTAAAACTCATGAGATCCAATTGTTTTTACAGACAGCAACCTACTGACTAAAGAACGCAAGTAGTAGGCCTCTTCCACTAAAGCGGGAGTCTCTTTTATGTAGTATATCCCACAAAAGTTTGTGCAATCACCTGTCCACAGCTTTTGAAAATCTATCGATGTGTTCGAAAAAAAAAAATCTTCCCTCAAATTCTTAAGACAAATCTTTCCCAGTGTATTCAACCTATGAGATCTCACCAAAGCAATCAATCAGTACCGCCGACTTCAAAAAGTTCTCAGGATTATTGTGCAAACAAAAATATAATACGTTGCGAGGTTTCTTTTCCTATTCCTCGTAGGCGAAAAATCACTGACTCTGGATGCCTGTGCCCAGAGGATTCTGAGACATGACTGGAGAAATGACGGCGAACTCAGGGGCAGTGGGAAACTTGAGAGGACAGAATGCTGAGCTGTCGCTGACTTTCAGAGTGAACTTCTTGCATGGATCCAGCAAGGGCTCCTTCACCATGGGTGGCATAGGTGGCGCTTTCCTGAAAAAAAGAAAATACAGCCTGATGTTTAGCATGTTACTAATGTTCTTTTCTTTTTCTTTATTTCTATACTGGGAATTTAGATATTTCTTACGTGAATGTTCTCCATGTTACTTAATATTCTTTCTTTATCATTATCATTTTTCACCTTGTTTTTCAAATGCCGCGGCATATTTAAGCTTATATAAGGTTTGGTAAAATGTTTTAAAAATAATATTAATTGATATCAAAAGATTTTATATACACAATTTTTTCATGAGTTGTGTTCAAAAGGTTGTTATAGTCGAAGATACTATACATATAAATATATATATACACACATGTGTAGGACTAGGTATCATGCTGAAACATCGAAGTTCAAACCCTCACCTTGTTTCATCCAACAAAGGAACCTTTTCACAACCATCTGGGGGCTCCCTGACAAATTGATAGGACTTGTTTGGTCTGGGGCTGGCTGCATACTTAGACTGGGGATCTGGACTGCCAGGGTCAAGGTCAACTGAAACAGAGGCAATAGGTCAAGGTCAACTAAACAAAGAGTTCAGGTTAACTGAAATGGAGAAAGCAATGACAGCAATTTTACAGAATAAAATCACCAATTTTTGTGTACATAAGCCTCTAATAATGTGGGAACCGAACTTGTGTAATTGTCTTTTACCACAAAATTTAACCCGCTTTGGATAATTGCTTTAACACGTTACAGTTGTAAGTTAAGCATCTGAAGTCTTTGTTAGCAGAGCTGGTGAAAACTTATAAGAACAACTTGACAGACCACATCTATATGTGACTCATACCATCATATCAACAGATTGTGCTGATTGCTTTCCATAATATATCATTTGCAACAAGCTGCAAATTGAGACTGAATAAAAATAAATGGTATTTTGCTGTCCAGAAAATGTGATCATTTATCATATTACATAATCAAATTGCAACATCCATCTTGTTTCAGTTTCTGTGGGTGTGCCTAGGCATGTTGTAACATGAGGATCTCAAGCCTTGCCTTTAAGCAAAATATTAAGAGCTGTTTTGTAATTCAATACTTAAACTAGAGGATCAGAGATTAAAACCATGAGTACCACCAATGCTTTGCTGGTGGTAAAATAATGCGATAACCTTGGGCATTCTACTACAGAGAACCAGCACACTGCCACACCTACCAGACATCTGAAAACACATAGTACACTGTAGCCAGACTTACCTTTATCCACCTTGCTGCCATCAGATGTATTCTCTGTTGAGTCGTTCTGACTGGAAGGTCGAGACGAGTCCATCTGTCCAGGAATTATGGGAAATGATGGACTTATTGATTGGGAGCGGCTTCCGCCTCCACTGCTATTCCCACTGTCATTTTCATTCACCACAGACGGTGTTTGCGTGTTGACACTTCGAGTGCCACTGGCAGCACGGAGAAGTTCTGCAATGGGTGCGCGATGACCGTCAGGGGTCGTGTCCTGATTCTGTGCGGCATTCGCTGCAGGCTGCACCTGGAGAACACAGGTGAAATAAATATGGGAGAGAAACCAGGTGAAAATGACAGGTAAAAAAATCAAAGAGACAAAAGATGAACAAGAACTGCTAAAATAACATATTTGCCATAAACTGCTCATTCTTTAGTCAATGCATTCAGAAAGTTTCCACAATGATTGATTTCCACAATATGAGATTGTTGTCTCAACTGAACAATTTTACTGCATTTGGTTTTATACTTATTAAATTTCAATATAATAAAAATCATATACCATAAAAATTATGAAAAAAATCCAACAAGGCAGAACACAAACCTTTTCCTCTTCATCTGTACCTTGGATGAAGAATCCCTGAGATTTTAGGACAAGTCGCTCAATTTCCTGGAAAAAAAATCACAGACAACAATTACGCATATTTCAATGAATTGAGGCAACATTCTGAAACTCAGCAATTTACCCTCGAAAAAATTATTTTTCTAAGCAAACTAACAAAATAGTAAATTTATGATAAGTTAAATGAAAAAGTTTTTTAAAAAGTTGGAAAGACATTGCTGAATGACTGAAATCCCAATTATGTAGGCATTGCATGGCCCTTCAATCTTTTAGCATCACTAATGATATGTGCTGGGTGATAGGAACAATGACAAAGTCAGAGATAAAAGTGGACCTTTTGAAAAAAAAATCAACAGCCCATGAACAGGGAGTGTGAGGTCTGCTGGGCATAAATACAAACTACATAAACCCAAAACAACCCGATTTCCTGATATTAAATTCTGCAGACTTTCTTCTCTTGACAGAGCACTTGTTAAGAGAAGTAAGGCCCCATTCAGAATAGGGGACTAACTAGTCCCAGGGGTCAAATATGGCCGACCCACTTGAATACTTCCCCACAGGATATCTATTCAGTGGCTATTAGCAGATTAGATGACAAGCTTTGTAGTGGTCACCATATTTGACCCTGGGACTAGTTAGTCCCCTATCCTGAATGGAATTTAAGACAAATACCTGATTTAAGCCCTCTACACTCCCCCGCACCCTGGGCACCGCAGCTTTAGGAATGTGGGTGACAGGGATGGGTACAGGCTTGGAAACTAAAATTGGCGGAGGGTTTGTCAACGCTGCGTGGTTGCCATGGATAGGGCTTTGTCGCGGGTTGGGCATCTTGCTCTTCTGGAGTCTTTGTTTGTAGAGCTGAAAGAGAGGCAGAGGAGGATTGTGTTAGACTATACGTGTGACATGACACTGTTCGCTAAACATCTGAAGCCTNTAATGGCAGTCACATAAACAAATAGCACTGGTAAGGAAACAAAATCTCAGAAATCTTCTAGGCATCAACAAACGCCCCCTGTATGTGTTCCATTCAAATATTCCTCAAAAATGAAAGCCTGTCCACAAAAGAGTTCATCTGAGCCAAACTGAATTAAATAGCAACCAGCACACATATGGAACTGTTCCTTAGCGGTTTGTCAAGTCCGACAATTAGAATAAAATTTCATCGGTCAGCAATAAGCAATAACAAGTTCGCAAATGTTCACTGTCACAAATTCCTTCCCTCAAGGATCACAATCCAAAGTAACTGGGAAGAAAATCTGAGAAAAACTTTTTACTGTCTGTCTGTGCTGAGATTACAAACCATTTTGTGTCTAAGAGAGGTTTTTGTCTATGTCTCACTGTTCTGTGAAAACTTCACAATCAAGTCATTACCTCAGCCTCATTATACTTCATACAAGTTATTACGAGTTTCGCACTCAAACAAGTATCTTTAAAACTCATGAGATCCAATTGTTTTTATAGACAGCAAACTACTGACTAAAGAACGCAAGTAGTAGGCCTCTTCCACTAAAGCGGGAGTCTCTTTTATGTAGTATATCCCACGAAAGTTTGTGCAATCACCTGTCCACAGCTTTTGAAAATCTGTCGATGTGTTCGAAAAAAAAAAATCTTCCCTCAAATTCTTAAGACAAATCTTTCCCAGTGTGTTCAACCTCTGAGATCTCACCAAAGCAATCAATCAGTACCGCCGACTTCAAAAAGTTCTCAGGATTATTGTGCAAACAAAAATATAATGCGTTGCGAGGTTTCTTTTCCTATTCCTCGTAGGCGAAAAATCACTGACTCTGGATGCCTGTGCCCAGAGGATTCTGAGACATGACTGGAGAAATGACGGCAAACTCAGGGGCAGTGGGAAACTTGAGAGGACAGAATGCTGAGCTGTCGCTGACTTTCAGAGTGAACTTCTTGCATGGATCCAGCAAAGGCTCCTTCACCATGGGTGGCATAGGTGGCGCTTTCCTGAAAAACAAGAAAATACAGCCTGATGTTTAGCATGTTACTAATGTTTTTTTCTTTTTCTTTATTTCTAAACTGGGAATTTAGATATTTCTCATGTGAATGTTCTCCATGTTACTTAATATTCTTTCTTTATCATTATCATTTTTCACCTTGGTTTTCAAATGCCGCGGCATATTTAAGCTTATATAAGGTTTGGTAAAATGTTTTAAAAATAATATTAATTGGTATCAAAAGATTTTATATACACAATTTTTTCATGAGTTATGTTCAAAAATTTGTTATAGTCGAAGATACTATACATATAAATATATATATATACACACATGTGTAGGACTAGGTATCATGCTGAAACATCGAAGTTCAAACCCTCACCTTGTTTCATCCAACAAAGGAACCTTTTCACAACCATCTGGGGGCTCCCTGACAAATTGATAGGACTTGTTTGGTCTGGGGCTGGCTGCATACTTAGACTGGGGATCTGGACTGCCAGGGTCAAGGTCAACTGAAACAGAGGCAATAGGTCAAGGTCAACTAAACAAAGAGTCCAGGTTAACTGAAATGGAGAAATCAATGACAGCAATTTTACAGAATAAAATCACCAATTTTTGTGTACATAAGCCTCTAATAATGTGGGGACCGAATTTGTGTAATTGTCTTTTACCACAAAATTTAACCCACTTTGGATAATCGCTTTAACAGTTGTAAGTTAAGCATCTGAAGTCTTTGTTAGCAGAGCTGGTGAAAACTTATAAGAACAACTTGACAGACCACATCTATTTGTGACTCATACCATCATATCAACAGATTGTGCTGATTGCTTTCCATAATATATCATTTGCAACAAGCTGCAAATTGAGACTGAATAAAAAATAAATGGTATTTTGCTGTCCAGAAAATGTGATCATTTATCATATTACATAATCAAATTGCAACATCCATCTTGTTTCAGTTTCTGTGGGTGTGCCTAGGCATGATGTAACATGAGGATCTCAAGCCTTGCCTTTAAGCAAAATATTAAGAGCTGTTTTGTAATTCAATACTTAAACTAGAGGATCAGAGATTAAAACCATGAGTACCACCAATGCTTTGCTGGTGGTAAAATAATGCGATAACCTTGGGCATTCTACTACAGAGAACCAGCACACTGCCACACCTACCAGACATCTGAAAACACATAGTACACTGTAGCCAGACCTACCTTTATCCACCTTGCTGCCTTCAGATGTATTCTCTGTTGAGTCGTTCTGACTGGAAGGTCGAGACGAGTCCATCTGTCCAGGAATTATGGGAAATGATGGACTTATTGATTGGGAGCGGCTTCCGCCTCCACTGCTATTCCCACTGTCATTTTCATTCACCACAGACGGTGTTTGCGTGTTGACACTGCGAGTGCCACTGGCAGCACGGAGAAGTTCTGCAATGGGTGCGCGATGACCATCAGGGGTCGTGTCCTGATTCTGTGCGGCATTCGCTGCAGGCTGCACCTGGAGAACACAGGTGAAATAAATATGGGAGAGAAACCAGGTGAAAATGACAGGTGAAAAAAATCAAAGAGACAAAAGACAAAACAAGAACTGCTACAATAACATATTTGTGATAAACTGCTCATTCTTTACTCAATGCATTCAGAAAGTTTCCACAAAGATCTTATGAGATTGTTGTCTCAACTAAGCAATTTTACTGCATTTGGTTTTACGCTTATTAAATTTTAATATAATAAAAACCATACACCATAAAAATTATGAAAAAGTCCAGCATGGCAAAACACAAACCTTTTCCTCTTCATCTGTACCTTGGATGAAGAATCCCTGAGATTTTAGGACAAGTCGCTCAATTTCCTAGAAAACGCACCAAAGAAAACAATTACACAATTTCAATGAATTCAGGCAACATTTTGAAACTCAGCAATTTGCCCTCAAAAGAAGTATGTCATAATTTAAATTATTTTTCTTAGCAAACTAACAAAATAGTAATTATATGATGATTTAAAAGAAAAAAAGTAATAAAATAAGTGGGAAAAAATTGCTGAATGACTTTAACACCAATTACGTAGGCACTGGATGATCCTTCAATCTTTTAGCATCACTAATGATATGTGTTGGGTGAGAGGAACAATGACAAAATTTGATAAAAGTAGACCTTTGAAAAAATCCATAGGATGCCAGCAACAGATAGTGGGAGGTCTGCAGGACATAAATACAAACTACATAAACCCAAAACAACCGGATTTCCTGATATTAAATTCTGCAGACTTTCTTCTCTTGACAGAGTACTTGTTAAGAGCAGTAAGGCCCCATTCAGAATAGGGGACCAACTAGTCCGAGGGGTCAAATATGGCCGACCCACTTGAATACTTCCCCACGGAATATCTATTCAGGGTCTATTAGCAGATTTGACGACAAGCTTTGTAGCAAGTCACCATATTTGACCCTCGGACTAGTTAGTCCCCTATTCTGAATGGAATCTAAGACAAATACCTGATTTAAGCCTTCTACGCTCCCCCGCACCCTGGGCACCGCAGCTTTAGGAATGTGGGTGACAGGGATGGGTACAGGCTTGGAAACTAAAATTGGCGGAGGGTTTGTCAACGCTGCGTGGTTGCCATGGATAGGGCTTTGTCGCGGGTTGGGCATCTTGCTCTTCTGAAGTCTTTGTTTGTAGAGCTGAAAGAGAGGCAGAGGAGGATCGTGTTAGACTATACGTGTGACATGATACTGTTAGCTAAACTCCTGCAGTCTNAAACCGGCCCCTGGTCATTAATGATGCGGGTGCTGAAATAACTCTTGCAGGATGTATTCATTTTCACATTCACCTTCATTGTGTAACTGTCCCAGAAATTGTAATATTCTTCTTGGTATTCTTGCTTTCATTTTGTCACGTTTTTCTGTAGGTTCACTTTATCCATACGCCTACCAGTGTCAGTGTTAATCAACAGGCTGAACTGTTACTTCCTATTTTTGGTCTCATTATATGTGGCAAGTTTATTCAGATAATCACTGGTTTTTATATAATGGCCGACTATGATCAGATTTAGCCATCTCAATGTACAAAAATGGTTAGAATTCTAAAAGAGCGTGAAGTTTTTAAAAGAAGTTTACCAACTCGTGAGTAAACAACAGTAACTTTTTTTAATTGCACAAAAATATCCATATTTCCATCATTTTTCAGAATTTGCAAGAGAGGAAGATTTTCAATCAGGTGAATTTCCGATAAAAAGCACACGCACCTCTTTAAGTTGATCTCCATTTCCCAGAGATGATGATCTTTTATGTCCTTTCTTCTTTTTATCCTTCTCCCCATCATCCCACTCTTCTGGTGTCTGTAAATGAAAAGAAGAAAAAAAAATGACATGGAAGTTGAGAATGAGCAGACCAAAAAATTAGTCACTTTTCCAGGTCCACTTCACAATGAATATATAACATCACTTGTACTCTCCAGAGAAGACTGAACATACAAAATCATGACATATCACATGGTAGAAGTATATAAGCAAAATATAATGTTAACATCAACTTGTTCACGGAGTTCCAACTGTGAGTTCCAATTCTTGAGTCATGCTATCATTAATGACAATTTGTTAGGCATGAGATTTACATGAGGAGGTACTTGGTTACACAAAATGTATTTTGAAAATAATGAAAATCCATTCCTTAACCCTGAAATTTCGACCTCATGGGCTTCTCAATAATGCATGCTACACCAGGCCAATGATTATCTACACTCCGCCTTCCCACCCCTTAAGACTAAGTCTGAGTTTACAAAGCAAGTTTACAACAAATCTAAAATTGTTAAAAGTAAAATAAAAGCACCCCCCCTCCCCCCCCAAAGAGAGAGAGACAGACAGAAAGAGAAAATAATGAACTGAGCTATTATGCAACTGTTCTATTACAGCTATTCAATGCTTCTTCCATGACATATTCACCCCTCCTGAAGTCTTTGTGTGCCTTTTCCCACACTTTTAGAACCAAGAGTACATAAAGACAGACAAATAAGTCTTTCCTTTATGTTTTTATCTATTTTCTGTAACTTTGAATAGACAATGAAAAAAAAAAAGAAAAAAAAACTCACAAGGGAGAAAATATTGTGGCACAATCTATAACTCATTTTGATATAATCAAAATCTGCAAGTCCCCCCCCCTCCCTCTCCAAAATATTCCTAGCTTCATAAAGCCTTCAGAGCATGCCGCTGACTAACACAGCCAACACCACAACATGCATGCTCTACAATTGATTGATCTTTCAGCATCATGTTAATTTGTGCTGCAGATCAATCTGACTTTTTATGAGGATATAAAATTATTCCATGGCACGCTGCCAGTTGGCAAGGAGCCAGCTGTAAGAATTCTAGACCTTTAGTATATAGCAGGAAAACTGATAAAAATCCTGGCCGCATGACTTGGTAAGGAGAGAAGGCTGAACTTGCAACAATAAATAACTTCACCTTTTCACTACTTCAATCTGATAATTTTCATGAAGCTAGACAAAAAATTATGAACTGTCTAAATATGAGATGCATTCCAGTCAAGTTTGAGACAGTGGTGTCTCAGCTTTGTACTAAAATATCTTCAATTGGCAGAAATTTCTCATCATATACAATACAAGGAAGGGTACCAAACAACACTTAATTCAATGACATTGGGTGAAAAAAAAGGGGATTAGGCTGGTTCTCTGTGGTGAACTTATCATAATTAGACATTTTATATTACATGGCAGCTGGTGGGACACAGAGGGATTGGACTGGTTTTTTTGTAGTGACCTAACCTTAATCACAAGGAAATATAAAAGATAAAGATAGCACATGCTTAGAGCCCATTCACAACAGCAGACTAACAGATTCGTGGATCATATATAGCCGACCCATTTGAATGCTTGTTGTGCATTCCCCGCAGGAAATCTATTGGGAATTGAGCATCAAGCTGTTCAGAATGCTCTCTTAATTAATCCACCAAAATGGAATGGGAATGCGCCTTCCACCCCAGAAAGTTGAATCTTCTCAGCCAAGCTTGTGAAGTACTTCAACTCGTTTATAAAATAAAAGCCAAGACTGGCAGAAATCAAATATGAAATAAATAACACAGCTAGAAGAATGATCCCCAACCACATGTCCTGCTAAGCAATCTGTCTNAAATGCCCTGCTAAGCAATCTGTCTAGTTCATTTCCTGTCTAATTTAGCCCTGATGTGAACATGCTCCACCAGGAGCAAGTCTTCTCAGCATCAAGACTATTTCTGGTGTAAGGTGTGATTGTTATCCATTCTGGTGTACGAATTATACAGCCGTGTTCACATTTCAACTTACTTAGACATGAAATAGACCAAACAGTATTAAACAGTGCCATGAAATAATCATATGACAAACTTCCCCGTTGTAATATAGTTCATCCTAAAAAGTTTCTGTCAAATCTGTTAAGTTTTAAGTGTGTGTGTGTGTGTGTGTGTGTGTGTGTGTGCGCGCGCGCGTGCAAGTGCGTGTGCATGTGTAGGAGTAAGGAAGAAGGGGCACCTTGCCACACCTCACCTGCGTTGTTTTATCTGCCATGTATATACCAGACACATGTTGAAAGAAGTCTGTCTTTGGCCACTGACTGGACAGGTACTGTCCCGTGATCGTGTCAAGAGAACCTGCACGGCGTATGCCCGCAGACGAGGCTGGGCTTCCGCGGACTGGCTTTGGTCTTTCAACTGGAATATATATTTAAAAAAAACTGTGCTGAAGAAATAAAACACTGTTTTCACATTCCAAACAAACATAAATGCCCATTTTGAAATCCTATACCTTGATAGTTACTATGGCCGTTTCTTCAATCGCAGGGAAAAAATATTTTAACTGCAATTTTCATTTAGAGGCTAGTTAAGCACCTGTGGTCACACTCCCTGAAGGCCACTTGTCAGAGGCAGAGAAAAATAGGAATAATAACTCTGATTTTAGCTGGTGGTTGAAAAAATACCATGGTAAATGAGTGTATAACACAGCTGATGGAAATCTGTGTTTAAAATTTTTCTGTCTGTCTGTCTGTCTGTCAACTCAACAAGCACGCACACACGCACACACACACACACCAGCATATCAGCAATCAATAATCATGCAGTCAAAGCAGAAATCCATTTCATACTCTATCCTCTATGACTCAATGCTGTTTTTGCCTTGATATAGTCAGAATGCATTGGGTTTCATTTATAATTGTCCTTGATTATGAAAGAAATCTGTGAAAATTGTGATAATCTGCAGATTCTGTAATATTTTACTTACAAAAAAATGATCTTTCAAATACAGTAAGGACATGGTAAATCTAGGTTTTACCTGTAAATAAACTGTTTAATACCAAATCATAAAGTTTTATGTGAATAAGTTCATTTAATTTTTCCAATTTCACACTTTGCTGTTCTACCTCCCTTGCAACTGCACCATTTAATTTAAATAGCAATACCCCAGAAGCAGCTGTTCTATCACCCTCCCTCCTCATGCATTGGGGTCTCTATAGTGTCATTTCCTTCACCCATTCAACTAGTGTTGATTTACCAATCTACTTTACATCAAGCGTTAAATGGCAGCATTAATGTACAAATGTGGCTCCAGTTTAGGATAGAATTCGCATTTGTCTTGGTTCGATCCGGCATACATTTTGTTTCAGCCCATCAGCTAAAATTTCAGTCCAATCGAATGTTTCTGACCACAATCTATATTACACTGACAAAAATGTATAATTCCACACTTTTGTGAGGAAATAAATTGCTTGCACCCATTGGGAAAAAAATCCACAGGTTGTCTGAAGAGAAGTTTAGAATTCCCCTTCAAGCTTGATCTAATTACACAAATAGCCCTGTAAACAGTTTGTTTATCATTTGGTTTATAAATTGTTATTGTTTAGATTGCTCAATTGAGGTGTTTGTATTGCTGCAATTTTGTAACTTACACAAAAACATCGAGTTACATGCCAGGTGTGGGTCAAATATATTACATTGCAGTCATGGAAGTTAAACACTGGTCTTACAAGTGTTTTCAATACACTGCTCCATGTACTTTGAATGAAGAAATGATTAAATCACAATATTTCAATATCATAGCTCAAAATCAGAAATGTCAAGTGTCATTTTGAAGATTGCTTAATGTAAGGTGATGGCTTTATCTTTGGTTCAAAGATTCAGAAATTCAGGAAGCATTTTGTTATCACAGAACAAGAATTATGACAATCTCAAGTTTTTCATTACATGCCAAGTAGCAAGTTAAATGGTTGTGCAGTAAAATGATTTTCTAAGAAAAAAAATTTATTATTTCATGATACATACTTCATTCACCGAAGCCAAAAATTGAGTTGGGCGGATTGTCTGTCTGTACGACAACAACAACAACAACAGTAGTCTGAGCACAGGAAATTAAGGAAATTATCTGGAATATGTGAAGCCATGGAGTCATTTTGAGTTTATCCTCAGCCAAATTAGATGCATGTACTACTCAGGAAATAAAGGAACAATTGAAAATATGTGAAACAAGATTAGACATTTAGACTTCTGCACTGGCCTAGTTCTCAAACATGGTGCCAAGTCTTTGCTAGTTAATTTTTTTTTTTTTTTTTTTTTGGGGGGGGGACACTCCTTATTATTCAGTATTTAATCAAGACATCTTCACAAAGTAAGGGCATACTGCAGTCATATATTCGAATGAATAGTGAACTAAGTCCCGATTCGAATAACTGTAGTAGTCTGAATGCGTGAGGATCTCTGTTGATAATGCTTGTCATAATGCTCACTTTCAGCCACCACCTCGCAGTTGGAAATTTTTCCCAGCTCTGTAGCAACAAAATCACATCCAAGACATTTATACCGTAAGTCAACCCACTGATGCCACCGAATGAGCAGATTATGTAACTTGAAATTTCTCATATTTTGCTAACCCCCCTCCCCCGAGGTAATATTGTCTTTTAGTCAAGAAGGCAATATCCAATCTAAGTAATGACCCAACATCAGTCCACTTGTGACAGTTCAAAGTATACATAATATTGGGATTTTGTCTCTTTTACAGACAATATACTTAAAGCAATATGTGTGCACAGAGTAAGTTCATATATCTTAGCTTTCTTCCTCTCAAATGTGGCCATAAAATACAGCACAGATGCTGAGCTTACTTATGCACCAATTTCAATGCACATCAGACAGTTCACCAAATGTCATGATTGAGATTTCTAACCACGAAAGCACCTTACTATGGAACTTACTTAGGTTTCAAACTCCTAATTAATGAGTTTCACCTTTTCGAGACACCCCCCCCCCCCCCAATCAAGATTTACTCTATTCAAAATAGTACACTTTTTGCCAAGAACCTTAGGTCCAATTTTACTCTGAAGTATATGTAGCAGTAATCCCCATCTACTTCTCCACCATGCCTTCCACAAGAATATATGTAACAGCCCCATATCTATAACAATGAATCCCTGTTTCACCGTATGGAAAATATCAGCATGTGCAGTAAGATAAAACATATATATAAACATAGCCCAGGTAAATGTCTGAAAATAGCCCTGCCCTACCTCACCTCTATGCCCCCCCCCCCCCCCCACCCACACACACACACACCTCTTTCTTCAAAAGGTGTAAAAATTAAAACATAGGGTTTGATAACACATACAGTACTGATACAAGCACCATGCTCCTGAGAACCACTGAATACGTGTACAGTCATACAAAACATTCTTGGGTGTATCTCCACTATCATTCTCAAAGCTTAACCCCCCTAGCCCCCCCCCCTCCCCCAGTCCTCCAGCCTTCTCTACACAAACTCAGCAAAGTAACCCCAACACACGGCTATACAGCTACATATTGATCCAGGCCCTGTGCTATTGAAAACAGCAGTATTGTATTAGCTAAGACCAGCTGAACAAAGCAACTTTTCTACAGCCCCAACACCAACCAAGCTTTGGTGTGTTTGTATGGGTATGTAAGTATGTGTGTGTGTATGTGCCAATTCTGTTCGCCTTTTAGTTTCAAGAATTATATATGAAATCATTACTAACAAGGCATGACCAGTTTCCAATAACAGACGGTGTGTGTGTGTGTGTGTGTGTGTGTGTTGTTGTTGTTGGGGGAGGGGAGGGGGGAGCAACTACCTCTCACAGATATTGGGTGGGTGTTTTCTTTTTTTGGATAGGAGGGTGTTTATGACAGATATTGGATGTCAGATGGGGCTGACAGTACTAATGCCTGATATGAGAGAGAGAGAGGGAGAGAAGGAGATATGCTAGCTTCACTTTATTATCTATGCATGATAACCTTTTTTATGCCATAGAGCAACACAATTTCACCAGAGTCAAACTTTTGAACTGAACAAATCACACATATGGCTGAAAAATGTGAAATATTTTCCATCACTAAACTAAATCTGATCAGGCTTAGTATCTGGCTAACACTCAGGGTATTCTAGTCTTCACTACAACCACATGGTATCACAGCTTACTAATCAGAACAGTCTGTTGGTAAGTATATAACTACATGTACATCCTAGGATGTGAATGCCCAGGTTGTAGGTTCTGACCTAGGGGATGGGAAGAAGCCTGATCACAATGTGAACTCTGCTGGGTTCAAGCACAAGCCGGTTTTTAAAGTCAAAACCACCATGCTATAAGTCAAGCAGCTCTACCTCCCCACAAGCTTCTCTCTGATGTTTTGCACACAGAAGTGCTGTGATCTCCTGCCCCCCCCCCCCCCCCCCCCCCCCCACTCTCAAACCCAACTCCCAATAACCATATCAAGGTACCATGAAAAATTTACTGCAATCCGTAAGAACAAGTAAATATGAAAATACACTTCATACATTTTTGAAAATTCTATTAAACATTAGCATTTCGCATGACAAGCACTAGCTACAAAGTTGATTGAAATTAGTCAAATGTCACTTGCCTTACCACATGCTGTGGACAGTTTATTAAATGGATGCACAAGTTATACCCTGCTCATGCAGTCTCCCAAACTTACTGAAACCATAAACTGGACTGCAATAATTTGAGAGCACGTTGGCAACACAACCCCATCTTGCACTTTTTACCTTGAAGTTCGTTTTCCATTTCTTCTTGATTTTTGAATTAAAATGCAATTTGAAACATTGCATTCTTCTTCATCTCCTTTTCTTTCTTTAGTAATGCAAAAAGAAGAAAAAAATACTTTCCAAGTGAAAATATGTTACATGGATAAAGCACTGCCCATGCACAAATAATAGTATGTCTGCAGCTTGAGATTCTCACCTCAGAATTAAAAAGAAAAAGGATGTCATGGTCACTTCATGGTTAAATGCAGACAGATAGACATAAAAACCTCACCTCCTACAACCTAAATTCTCTTGCATTCTCCTAATAACACGCAAGTCACGAAAAGGGTGCCCTTTCTTTGAATCTGCACTTAAACTGGATCAAATTAATAATAGTGTAACGACTCACAAACAAATGCACATCAAACTTTGATCATTATCTGAGGTAGACCAGCATAAATTCTGAGAAAAAAAAAGTAAGACACAAAATAGTGACCTAATTCACCTAGTTTCTTATTAAAATAGGACAAAAATACATCTTGAGGAAAACAAAGCATTCAGCACGAGTCCCCGCAGAGTTAAATTGATCTATGAAGAACAATAGTTTCACTGGGAATGAACCCTAACGGTTATCAAATGTATTATGACTGGGTCCTCTTGTGACATT